TGTGTGTGTGTGTGTGTGTGTGTGTGTGTGTGTGTGTGTTTTGGTTGAGGCCCATTAAATTCCCTTAACATCCTCTTCACTTGCTCATTTTCAAACATACGGTCCAAATGGCTTTACCATACCATCATGACTGTTTTTGTGGAATCGTTACCTGAATGTTTCACTCACCGTCAGCCGGCTACAGTTACTCTGTGTTACTAGAAGCTTTGAAAAAGTTTGTATCTCTCGCAGCTGAACAAGCTCTAAAGTTGATGTGCCCAGTGGAAAATATTTGTATGCTAGTTTCCACAATAACGTGAAGAAATGTGGTCGAATTTTAAATGTCAATTTAAATTGCCAAAGGTTCTTTGGTTTACATCCGCAAGGAGGCTGTGTTTCATACTTGTTTGTTTCTCAGTAGAATTACGCAAAATCTATGTGACCAATTCGAAATATTGTGGAGGGGTTGGGGGCGTGATCCGAGTAAGAACCCATCAAATTTTTGCGTGTATCCGGATTACAGGATACACGCAGGCATGTTGATATTCATATTTATGAGTATGTGGAGATCAAGATCAAAATCCAGATCTAGTGAATTTAAATGTGGTTTCATGAGGGGACTGTTGGATCATGGTGGACAAATGTGCTCTTCTGAGTGACATTCTAGTTTAGTAAAGTATTTTTCCTCCATATTTAGCCATGGCTAAATGAAGACAAAGACACTTGAGCTGCTTCTGTTTCTGAATTCCCCCAAATTTGCCTTGGCATTGCTCTGACATAAGACTTTCCTCATCCTCCCTGTTCTAGCCCCAGTCTGGTTCCTCTGACTGTGGACTTCAGAGTCTGCTACATCTTCTTTGATCTTGTAAGCATATTAGGGTGATAATGAAGGGGCTATGCCCTCAGATCTTAAGGCAGTATCTTATGCTGATTAGATATTCCAATTTTGGATCTAATGAATCATAGTTTACATATTACTTAAGCACTGCCTCAGGAAAACCGAGTCTCACCCTGAAAAAAACATTTGGCTCAGAGTCTCACATTTTTCTGGCTTTTTTTTTCACATTTCAATGAACGTTTCTTAATAATGTGTCATAAAAATAAAACATTTTAAAATGAACACGTCCCAACCTCTTGATACTAGGCAAACTGCTGTCTTCTCCCTTCTCCGAGGGCCAGGCTACTGGAGTGGCAGGCACGTCATTGGCACACAGCCATGCAGACGTAGCTTCAGTAGCATAGAGCTAGAAGACAGAACAAAGGCAACATTACCACATATACAGAAATGCATGAATGATATTGAGGGTGAGTATTTATTTCAAATATAAGGGTAGAAATCTAAGAACCATTGTTGATAGTCATGCAGGAACATTTGTTTGTTAGGTCTGTGTTTCAGCACTCACTTTGAAGCCTTCTTCTTTCAGTTGGTGCGCCGTTGCCAGGAAATTGGGTCGGAACGAATGCTGGAAGGGAAGAAACAGATTGATGAAAAACAAAAAGCTAACACGTATAAATACCAGCAGAGGGAGACTTCTGATATGGGTTTCTGTTTAAATAAAAAGAATGAGTCCATCATGTTCTGTTCATCACTGAAAGGCTGTTCTGAATCTGCCTTCATGTGTAGGTCCTCCCATTAATTTAACTGAGACTGCAGATTGGTATTATTGTGTGGAAAAACATAAATGGCCGTTCATATGATAAAAAAATACTGCCGTAAAGATTTTTGGCCTAACATAATAAACAACAGATTAGAGCTGGACAATAAAATAATATCAATGATTATTGATTTTCATCAACAGCAATTTAACAAAAGGTTAAAAACACATATTGACATATTGCTTATGCATTGTTCAGACACAGTGATGAGGAACTCCCTGTTAATCAGGTGTTTGTGACTCTCTTCCCATAAAATAGATTTTACAACCACAACCTTCAATCAGGAGTAAATATCAGTCTATAAACTTAATATAAATATAATGGGACATTTATCGTGATAAATAATCAATCTTGGCCAATATCATTCTTGTCTTGATATAATTACTGATCTTATCACCCAGCCCTACAATAGAGATAAAGCATAATCTAAAAAAACATAGATGCAACATTAGTTATAGCAGTTTTAATGTTCTTCATTGCTTTGTCTTATAGGAAAATGATACTGTCAAATGATGGCACCAATACATATTAATGAAGCTGCATCTTGACCGATGTTACCCACAGCTTTTTACATAATTTCCGAGGACTTAGTCTGTCGATCTTACTCTCAGTGAACAATTTGTATTTTTTTTCTGCTTGTGGTTTCTCGAACAAAGCAATAACAAAAGGTAGAGTTTGGGGACGTCATGGTTTGATTCAGGAGGTTCTTACTCGGACTCTGATCATCCACAGAAGTCTCCTCCTCTCCAAACTGAACGAACACAGAGATTAAATCCAGCAGAAACATCTGATGAACCTTATATGGATATGACAATGTTTAGGAGCGTATAAAGCGTGACCCCAGGCACTTGCCTTGAAGTGGAACTTTTCCACCAATTACACAGCCAGTGTTGTGACTGCTTTCTTCAAGCTGCATAAGTCAAATTCACAGTTTCGTAACGCATGGTGGCATCGAGACTTTAATTACTAAAACTCATGTGATGTGATGTCATTAAAATCAAAATACACTGTCCAGGCTCACAGTTCATCTCTGTGGATGAGGTGGAGATCTTGCGGCACAATTATGCAGAAACAATGATTCCAAGAGTTCTTTTGACAGGAAATATTTTTATACATATATATTTATGCAGTGTTTTGTGAATGGTTTCTCTTCACCCTTCTATTTGGTTTTGAATAGTTACAGATGCCTCCGTATTTCCTCTTATTCATTCAGGTGTAACATGCATCTATTACTGTATTTGAGCCTATTCACACATCATCACTTGAGAGCTCATCATAGTTTTAAGTCTCATGACAGTTGTCAGTGACGAGAATCAAGGTCGGATGTGGTGAAAAACAAACTGAATATGGAATTGTAAGAAGCCGACGGCCAGAAGATTTGTTGATAAGGTGCTTCTCATTTGGTGTCTTATGGGCAGGAGGTGCCAAGAGGAAACCTAGAACAGGAGGCGAGTGAACCTCCAGATGGCTGTGGTCTTACCTGAATTCCAATCAGGATGCCCTTCTGTGGCAGCTTGAAGCCTGTGGAGAGCATAGCTTTCAGGAAGGCTGAATAAATGTTTGGTCCAAAACAAGCTACCTGCAAGAAAACAAGAGGTGCAGAACAAATGTGAGTCACTGTGGACACCGACTCTCCAAATTATGGAAGAAAAAAGTATACACACAAGTATTAACAGTGTGCTTACTTCTCCAGTGGAAGCCATCTCACAGCGAAGCACAGGGTCTGCATCCCTCAGCCGCGGCCAGGAGAACATGGGCGCCTGGTCGAAGAACATAGAGCAAAGGATTTGTTTTGACACGCTCTTCCTTTGAAAAATCAAAAAGTCAAAAAGGCATTTGTTCAGTGTGACCAAAAAAATGTGGTCTCCTATTTGCTTTACTCGGCTATTGTTGTACTGTTACAGTTGTTTGTATACACCGTTTATATGGATAAAAGCGTGGGACAGAATCAAATGCTGTTTAAGGAATTCAGTTACAGTGATCAAGTAATCTGCTTCCAATGATGATTTGGGGTCTTTTTACACGTTTACTATACTTGTGTTACTTACTGTAACAGGTAAACCAGGGCTCTAGCAGTTGTATATACATTAGGAAAAATAAATGGCAAATAATGATAAATAAAAGCTCATGTAGGCTATCAATCAGGTTTTTTTATCTCGCGACAAATTATTATTTCATATTGTCTCATGTAAACTACAATTTCTGCTTCAGCTCTGAAACTTCGCACATCAGATAATGAGGAGAGAGGTGAAACACAATATTAGCCCAGACAGACACAGACAGACTAAAAGAGGAAATCTTTAAAGAAATGGCAGGATAGCAGTCGCTTTAACAGCCTGTTTAACATGCGCCCTCCACGCTGAGAATGGGGGGAAAAGCAGGTAGGTGGCATAATGAAGGAATACCAGGGTGAGGCAGAGGAAGAGGAAACGGAGGAGAGGAGAAAATGGAAAATGAAAGATCATGGACAGGACATGTGAGGGAGTGAAGGCAGTAAAGACAAAGAAAAAAATGGAGAGACAATGGATGAAAAGGAGGGAGTGATTGGCAGGAAAATGTAACGACAGCAGACAATTTAAGAAAGATGAAATGAGGGGAAAAGGGGAAGATGATGAAACAAAAGGAGAGGGGAAGAAAAAGGTGAAAAGATGGAGAAAGGGAGGAGAAATTGACTGAAGAAAAGTATGGGAGCAGAATTTCTCATTGTATAACAGAAAAGAATTGTAGGGTGTTATTTGGAATGTCATTCTTATTTTTTCATGTAGAAGCAGACATCTCCCCACATTACCTAGAGAGAGAGAGAGAGAGAGAGGTCGTAGAGTGGTGTTGCCCATGTGTTCACACAATGAAACAGACACAGACACGTAGAGGCAAGGACCACAAGGGGGGGATTCATCCTTGAAGCGGGTTATCTAATCAGCTGAATGTAATGTGAGCATACTAATGTAAGTAGGGACGAAGAGAAGGGAATGCAGACAGGGAGGCAGCATCACTTATCACGGCTTTGTTCAAAGAGTTGGAGGAAAACGGGGTTAGTGCGCCGAGATAAAATGGAGGAATGTAACTAAGAAAGGAGATGAGACAGAGGGAGAGGGACACGTGACAGAGAGAGAGCAACAGTGACAGGGAACTATTGATGTGCAATAGGAGACAAGAGTCGACAACAAAATTAGTCGCGCTGAAGACAATTTGCGAAACAAAGAGAGGATGGCACAAAGACATATGCTCGCGGGTCTCTACGTAAATGTAAATCCAGAACATTCAATTTAATCATCCAAATGAGAAAAGCTCCTACGCCACCACGGCGACTGCAGAACCAAATCTCCAGCAGCCTCGTCGTAAACGTCAAAACTATCAAGCTGAAATTAAAGTGAAATATAATTTAACCACAAACAAGTTGAAAAAAAGGAAGAAAGGGGAGGGAGGTAGAAAAAAAGGGCAACACCTGGGGAGATTTAAATGCTGGAAATGAGAAACTTCTCAGGAGCCTTCATGAGCAGAATTTTAAAAGAAAAAAGAAAACTCAGTGGTTTCATTTGTAATGCGGTGTCCTCCAAATGAAATTGGTATGTCTGCTGAACAGAATGTATGTGACTGCCACAATAGCCAAGCCTCTCTAACCGAACACACACACACACACACGCACACACACACACACACACACACACACACACACTCACACTCACTCACTCACACACACTCACTCACACACACGCACGCACACACACGCACACACACACACACACACACACGACATCCCCATCTCCCTATCCCACACCGAACGCCCACTCCTCACAGACAGGAGAACTGCAAGGCTCCACAACATGAACAATGTTATCTTGGGGCACCAGCTGAGCTCCAGTGGAGGGAAAGAATAAAGTAAGACGTGTCTACTTAACATTTTGTTTCACATTGGGCCGTACTGGAGGTGGAGGTGCATGCACCAGTGTACATGTCTTCATATCGCAGCTGAATGGGAATCATGGCAATCGTAGAAACAGATTTCTGAATGACAATTTCCACATTTAGTACTGATGTTGTTACTGATGGATATTTAGATATATTATAACAAAAGATCTATGAAAGGCTCCATTTCCTAAAAACTCACCTGAACCCAGCAAAACTTCTGCTACGGCAGAACACAGTGATTCCATGGGTCATAAATACTACAACTCTACAAGGTGACTGCTTTTAGATTTCTAGAGAGGCAATGCAAGATGACTGCTCTTTGGTGTGGACTCCACAGCGTAAATAGCAAATAGGCAGTGGTGGGCAATAACAAAGTGTATTAACTCAAGTACTTTACAAGTACACATTTTAGGTACTTGTTCTTTGCTTTTATGTAACTTTCTACTTCTACTCTACTACTTTTGTGACTTTTACTATATGATTAAGAAAAAAAACTAAACCAAATGCCCGTAAGCCTTTTTGAACAAAAATAGAAAAGCATTATACAAATTACATACATTTACAGACACAGTACTGATGATAGCAGGAGTCCTTTCAGCAGCAGCAGAACTTGGGAATTAAGAGAAAATTGTGGAAACCACATGAGTAGCTTGAGTGGGTGACTTCATAATGTTGTAGAGTGGAAGTCTGGAAAAGTTAGAAAAAAAATTAAAACTTTAAAAACTAAAAGGTGTCAAATATTATTTTAAACAAAACTTTGTACATGTAGTGGGTCTTTAAAAGGTCCAATGTGTAAGATTTTGGTGAAAGGTATCTATAGACAGAAATTGAAAAATAAATAACCCTAGTGATGTTTTCATTAGTGTGTTTCATCTAAATTGTACAAATTGTTGTTTACTGTACCCTAGAATGGCCCTTTATATTTATCTGCATTATATTTACATCGAGGGGGTCCTCTCTACGGAGGCAGCCATGTTTTTTACAGTTGCCCAGCTGAACAAACTAAACACCTTTAGAGTTTTTATGACAACTGAAGTCTACCACAGGTTCTCATTCATGTTTGGAAGGGGAGGGTATGGTGAGGGGTGTTCATCTGCAACATGCAACTTCACGAAGAGATGTCACTACATTCTACACACTGAACCTTTAAAAGGTAGAATACTTTGACTGTCTCAGTGGTAAAGTAACCATTACATATAGTTAATTAACAAGCAGATAATTTTATGCCAACATGGCCTTGTTCCTTTAACACCTTACTTTAAAGTGTTGATATCTGTGATGTTCAGAGCTTGTGTTTTTCCTGGGGTCATTAGGCTCAAAGAAATGCGTCTATTTCAGAAGTCGCCTTAATGCCTCGCATGCCATGGTCAAAGGCCCGAAACATCCAACAGACGGGAGTTATTTTTCTCCTACCATTAAGTGTGCACAAGGGACATGCACCGAATCAGCTTCCTCCTCCTCAAATGTTGTTTTCATGCTCTTCTTCCTCTCAGTGTCATAAATACAACTGTGTTATTGTTCCCTACGAGTTTGTATGTCGAGACAGAAATCGCACAATGGGGACTTGTTAGCAAAGAGAAAACAACATGGCCTCAAACAAGGGACTGTCTGAGAGAGGAGACAGTAAGAGCGACGGAGAGCGGATGAGAGGGAATGAGACAGATAAATGAAGATGGTCTCTCTGGATGGCAATGAATTGAGCCTTGTGATAATACAGTGAGTACAGTGAAGATAAAGGCTGAGAGGCTACATATTGATGACACACACTTCAGGCTGCTGAGGCTGGATAATGGTTTCAATCATCAGTGTGTTCACATTGGTGGGCTTCATGTTAATTTGGTTGTGTTAATCTTAAGATTAGCACGACTTCCCTAAACAGTTGACATGCATTGTGGCAAGGTTTTCCAGCACATATCAGGGCCGGGGTTAGGGATGGGAATCTCTAGGAACCTCACGATTCGATTCCGAGGGCTACAGTTCAATGATAAAATAATTATTGGTGAATCTCAAGATTCTGCATTTCTGCTCTTTTATAATCCCTGACACTTAGAGCTGATCTTTATTAACACCTGCTGCATAAATATGTTCCTGGATAAATGGGGCGTTGTTTCTTCTGCAACAATGAAGTTAAAAAACTCAGGTGTGTGTAGGTGTGTGTAGGTGTGTGTAGGTGTGTGTAGGTGTGTGTAGGTGTGTGTGTGTGTGCCCGTCCCTGTCGCTCACAAAAACTGATAACCACATGTATTTAGTTATTACTCGATGACGTCGGATCATGATGTCGGATCATGATTCCGGATCTTTCCGGTCACTTTAACCCTGACGTCCTGTGCACATTTTGTGTTGTATGTAGCAGATAAACTGTGTGTGCACAGTGCGCATGTGTCAGTACTGTTCAGGTCCTCATAACGTCTGATTGATGTCTGTGTTCATTGTTAAAGTGTAAAGTGAGTGTAGGTCAGTGGAAGAGTGGAGGGAGGACACTCTCCCAAGGTAAAAGACCGACCAGACCTTTAATGAGCGTCTGTCCTGATCTTGAAGCAGCTGGTTATGATAATGCAGTGGCAAGACAACGCTAAAACGATGAACTTAGCAGAAAACATGAATCAATTATGTTCAGTCTGCATCAATGCAGAGTCGTCCACGTCCGCATCGCAGAATCGAGAAATTTGCCCACCTCTAGCCGGGGTATATAAAGTCTGTTTCATTGACTCCAAGTAAACTCTGGAAGTCTTTTAAGCCCAGCGCCTGGAGTATTCAGAGCTCTGATTAATATTCTTCACCACTGTGCAGCCTAGAAATTGAAAACTTTAGGTGGCAGGGAAGAGTGGGAGGATTATACCTGCGTGATTGGCTCCGAACTACAGCCATTGTTACAGCAGCTCTGTTGTAATTAGAGGGAGAAATTACTTTGGAAAAAAAAATAGCTTTGGAACATCTGGCGTCACGTAAACTCTCTCACACCCAATCTGAGGAGAAGTAAGCCACCCAGCCGATATGAGAAGTCACCTATTACCCCCCAGGCCCACGCCTAGGTGGAGGGAAGGAGCAGTAATTGTCGCCTTTGTAAGGGGATCCAATGGAAACTGCATGAGCAGATCCTGCACCACCTATTAAGAAGTCATACATGTAGGGCTCTTTACATAGAAGCACATTTTCTAACTGAACATGATACATTAGACCTTGGGAAGTTCATAGACATGATTACTGGGGAACAAGTAACAAGTCACTTTTATACAACAGGTAGCTATTAACCCTGAACTCATCACAGTGGTCGTGGCTATCAAATTTTTTTTAATTCTGGAAGTTTGAACTTCAGTTTAAGTATTACACACTTCTGTATGAATTGAGAACAATTCAGAACTTAATAAAAACCCTTTATACACAGTGCAGTGTTTCCCGCAGAAAATTAGTCAGTCAAGGTGGTGAGCAGGGGGGGGCGTGGCACTGTAGTTCCCACGACGACGGCAGGCATGCTGTCCGGTTGTGGGATTTTGCTTCTTTCCCGATAAAAAAGAAATGCAGTTACAGCAGATGATAGATGGCTTAACATATTTAACCTACAGATGCCGCTATTCCGCCTCATTGCGATACAGCCATATTTTAACCTACTGTCTATGCATGCAGGGATGCAGAATATTTATTTATTTATTTATTTTCGGGGGGGACGTAGTCAAGGCGGGGGGCCGTTGTTGTCAAGGCGGCCGCCTTAACTATAAAGCGCTGCGGGAAACCCTGCAGTGTATATTCTTGAAAAGCCCCTGCCTGACCACATAAATCCAACCCATAGTCGCCCTGTCCACAACAGTGTGAATATTTTGCAAAATTAACTCTTCCTCAGCGTTTGAGAGTCTCCTCAGAAAAACTGACATTTCTTACAGACGCCTTCAAAACAAATTGTTGATGTAGACTTTATCGCCACCTACTGGCACGACATTCTTGTATGAGCGTTTGAACTCATTTTTGTGTTCTCATCTGGATGGAAATATTTTCTACCATAAAGGTTATGTGGACTGAGATTTTCTTTTTTAACGAAGGAGAGGAAAATATTCGCAGAAGTGAAGGCATGTGTGATTGTAGCCTTAATGTGTTGACTGGTGTGATGATATGGCAACAAGGATTTTGTGTCTTTATTGTCAGTTCACAGTTGTCTACCTCATGAGTCTGTTTTGGCTACTTGCTTGCTTTACTGTGACGGTTTGTTGGCAGCCATCTGCGCATTAAACATTTATACGATTCAATCAGGTCCTCACGGTTTCTTATTGACCCTGAGTTGATTAACTTCTGGATCAATTCCATTAGGCTGTTACACAGAGGGCAAAGTATAGCAAAACAACAGCTTGAATATACATTACTGTGGTTGTAACTATTAACATTAACTGACGCTTAAATAAATTTAGCCATCATAAAACCTTTATATCTAAACACACTTTTTTTATATGTCAAATTGTCTTCCGTGGAAAAGCTCTATCCAGATTATCATGTCGGGTTCTAATAAATGCATCAAAAACATTCACTGTGTTGCAGAGAATGCTTATTTTGTAAGTCCTCACTAACTTACAACACACTTCTCATTCACTTCATGCGGCTGTGAACACTTATTTCAGTCTCTCTTCTCACCTTGATGCCCACGTAGTCCACAGGAATGATAGGTCTCTCCAGCGAGGGCAGGCTAGCCTCATCCATAGGTTCCCCCACCATCACTTTGGTTGCCACGTTGATAAAGTCCACACCGATTGTTTTTGATACAAAAGGGAAGGAGCGTGACGCCCGCAGATTACACTCTATCACCTTAAAGGAAATACAACACAAATGCTGTCATTGCAGAACTGACAACCACAGACATTGTCCCTGACCAATTATTGTACATTTGGATAAGGCTAATCAAAACACGCACACAGTCCGTAGAGGCATTTACATTCCAATTTACTAAACAAATATGTACAATATATACATGTACTGTAGCTGGACCATCAAAACTGAAGGCAACATTGATCCTAAAATCCCACCACAGGCTGATCTCAAGTTGTGAGTGAAGTTTATTTGCTGTAAGCTGGTGCTAAAATGCCGATCTATCTTTTAGTCACACCCTGAGAATTATTACTCACCATGACATCATTGCCTTTAACCAGAAATTGAGTATTAAAGGGCCCAGAAATTTCAAATGCCTGCGCGATTTTGCGGGTGGCAGTTTTCACCTGAGAGCAAAGAAAAGAGAAATCACTGACACATTCCAAATATAAATAAATGAGGCTGTCTGTAACCGTTTAATAGAGTATCCCTGTATATTAAAGGAGAAAACAACTGTGGCTACATGATGATTTAAAGAACTTGTTACCTCCACCAAGGTGGTTGATGTTGTTTTGTTTGTCTGTTAGCAGATTACACACCTAAGGGACAGATTGCCATGAAACTTGCTGGAAGGATGCGGTATAGGGAAGAACACAATAGATGTTGGTGCGGATCCAAATAAATGAGCAGGATCAAGGAATTTTCTTTTAACTTGTAGTGTTTCCTGCAGGATTCATTCAATCTATGATGTAGCATGGGTGCACGTGCACAGACATTGCTCTCACATGCAACAGATTCCTAGTTACAGGTACGCAGACTAAAGAGTGAAAGAGAACTTCTCGTGTGAGAGAACTACATTGCATGCCACTTGCAGGTGCATACATTACTGCAGCGGAATCTATGAAGTTTGACAGTTGTTGTGGACGGTAAAAACTTTATGGACGATAGCATGACAATTTTTATCATCATGCAGCAGATAGTGCTGCTAATAGCAATACACACAACTATTTAATACAGCAACAGAGCAAAACACCAAGTTAGATATCTGCTATGTTATTATGAGAAGTGTGAAAATTTTCAAGTTCATTATGAAACTGTGGCAGAACAAATTAGAATATGCCGATCGCCACAGTTTAAATAATTAGTGGGAAACACTGATTTGGTATGGCAAGATGGAGACTTTGGCCTTGGCGGAGGTATGCACCCTCAGATTTACAGCACAACTAATATGATTCGCTATGTCTTGAGCTGACTGACCTTTTCTAGCGCCCCCTGGCTAATGGTCTGGGTTGGCAGCATGAGAGTGGCATCTCCTGAGTGAACCCCAGCATCCTCCACATGCTCTGTGATGGCATGGCACAGAACCTGGATGAAGAGGATTTGCATACAGATTATAACACTAATGCAGCAACAGAAATTCAGAGACAAAGTTTCAAATTCAGCTTTTACACCCCCGGCTTGTTCTCTGGGGATTTTTTTTTTTAAGACCAGATGATCTCCAGACTGGATGTGTTTGTACCTACAGTGCATCACTAAGTAAAATAGTACATAAAAAGGCAGTGTAAAAATATGATGGTACATAAAGCTGTGAGTGATGCATTGTGCGTATGAAATACATAAGTAAATTAATTCAGGTTGGCTCATTGAAAATCTGCTCTGGAAAAAAGGGCCTGTGTTTGTGGACAGTGTCGCTAAGTGACAGTGTAGGTGGATATGCAGAGTCAAAAGAGTAACTTCCAACATTTCACCCCCAGGAAAGGAGATTTTTATCAGCGGGCAACTCTGTGCAAGAGTGTGTGTGTGTGTGTGTGTGTGTGTGTGTGTGTGTGTGTCTGCAGATGAGCTGCAGTGTCATTAGTACATTTAAACTGCTGCTAACCACAGCATTCATTAGCACTCTTCAGATAGAGCCTGTAATTAATACGTATTATCTCTGACTTCTCCACTCACTCTCTCTCTCTCTCTCTCTGTGTCTCACACACTCAGCCTGGCCAGGAATAATGAAGCCTGTTTGGTATTCAATGAATGGACAGCTTGTTAATGTGATACTGAAGATAAAGGAGGGGCTGTATTCAGGGAAAGCAGAGGGAGAAAATCTACCGTTCCCCTGGATTGGCCACGTTCAAAGTGACACCCTTGAAATGACTCTGCAGTCTAAACAATAGAACAACAAAGAAGGCGCTCAGGACAAGGACCTGGGTGGCTCTGTCCTTCACTGAAAGTTACACACTCATGAAGTAATGACAAACCAAATGTTTTAGTCTGTCCAGTATCAAATGATGATCCAGTGGTTTGTTGGTTTGACAGAAGTTGCAGTTCCACAGGGATCAAATAATTCAAACATTTAACTTTGATAAAAACTGAATTTCTATAAATTACAGCTCGTCCGAAACACAGCAGCCAGATTTCTCACCGTATCCACTAACAGAGCAAGTTGATTTTAGTGACTGGCTTTAGCTTCTTTTCATCAGCTTAAACTGATTTAAGACTTTATTGTAGACTTGTAAGGGACTCGTTCTGGACTTGCACTTCAATACATTTCAGATCTTTTGACACAGCATGTGCTTGGTCGTAACCTTCAGCGGAGGCCCGGCTCACCATCCCACAGAACCATCTCCCTGAGGAGATCAGACTACATATCCTCTCTTCTATCTCTCTTGTGTGTGTGATTTCTCTTGGTCTTAATTCACCTTAACTTTTTTTTATCTTTTTTTATAAACCCCAGAAGAAACAAATGGAAGTGCAGTGTGAACGTTTCTGAAGATCCTCTCAAAGAAAGCTGCATGCTGGATTACTGCAGACCAAACTACTAAAAGGAATTAATGATGATAAATAAAAATGGGACAAATAATGTTTTTGCAGGCTGCTGCAAAACATGGTACATTGTGTTTGTATATAACTTATGCTCAAGCACTAATTATTGCTGGCAGAACATAATACTACATCTGGTGCATGCAGTATAGTTGTCCTTCATTGCCAGAGCAGTGAGTCTGCTCTGCCAGGATGTCTCCACATACACATAATGACAACTCAAAGGAATTACGGACAAAAACCTGTATAACTGGGCAGAACATCATGTCAGTAGAGTCTCACCCTGCCAGCCTTGGCCACAGCATCCACCTCTACCTCCCTGGCACCGCGGACGAACTTGGTAATGACCACTGGATGCTCCTGGAGGACAGAGACAGCAGGGTGGTTATTCTGTCGACTACAAAAAAAGGTGAAATAACCCAGTCTGAACAAGGTCTTTTGGTATTGTTATGGCATTTTTGGGGAATTTTTTCTCTCTTCTCCGCACAAACAGTTGCTTTTTTCCACATCCAGCAGCTACAGAGCGACATCATTTATTTGGAGTCACGTTTTCGGCCAACCGACAGAAAGAAGTCAGAAATATCCGTCTCTCAGCTCTTTTTTCACTCTCGACAAACTCCTGCAAGAAGTATCTGGCTTTGCAGCTGCTAAATGCACCACTATGTCCACCAGCTGTATCTGTCCGTCATTTGGTGTTGAGCAGTAACTATAGTCTGGGTTTGTAAGAGCTTTTTCTTTGAAAACAACTGACTATTTCAGCTGAAAGCAGGATGATGAAAGCAGTGAGAGTGAAACAGAATAGTTGTGGGCAACTCAGATAAACAATGAGCTCAGGCTCACTGAAAAACAGTCTAGGCGAGGAGAGCTGCGGATTCAGGTGTTTGTTCCCTCTGTAGTTTCATTACTACAGTCGACTCCTTTCACATTGATGCATTGTTTTCACATCATCATTTCAATGTCAGCGTAATCTTTTTTTCTGCTCCCAAACGAGCAAATGCTGTTGCTGTAATGTGATCTGAGCTCATCCTGCACAATACCCTTACCTCCATCTTGACCTGAACTCATTTCTAACGACCACTCCACACCACAAATAGGCATGTCTCTCTGTAAACTGCAGGACATGGACGTCCACTGGTGCCAAAAATCGATGAGGTGCAGCAGCTAAAAGTACTACACAGATTTCTACGAAACTTGGTGGACAGAAACATGGACCAAGACAGAAACCAGTAAATCATGGCAGGGTTCTGGACAAAGGGACATATCCAGGACATTTTTTCTCATTTACCGATTATCTTGATGAATAAAAACAGGCATACTGAGAGGACTAAGATCTATGAGAAATTTGACACATCTTTATTTAAAAAGGACGTTATGGTATGCGCTCTTCTGGTTACTTACATTTGATTATTACATTGATAATTGCTCACATTCTGCTCAAGGACTTTTCTTTGACTGCTGGATTTTATTTCTTATTTTTTGGCGACAGAACTTGAACTGATGGTTTTTTTACCATCTTATTGTGGATTCGAGGTTATGTTCCAAACTGATGAACAGGGATGACATTATTGGTTGCAGTTTTTTAACAGCTATCTTTTGTTAGCATCATTTAAAACGTTTTTATCCTCCTACAGCTTGTTTCGGATGACAGAATGCCTCCATATATTTAGCCTTCTCATGGTTAATTACTGCTGATCACTTGCTAACATTTTGTCTGTGGATTGATCACTAGCAAAACACAAGCTAACACTGGCACAGCTTCTATATTTGCTTGCCTGTTGATGTTTATGGGTCATTGACGTCAAACATGAATGCAAAGGATGATTTGTCACATTGTTTTTTCTGATCCCATATGATTCCTCTCCTGCTCATCTGTTCAGGTTAAAACTGAGAGTCACTCATTTAACCCAATGGTCATTGCTCAATTCTAAATCCAATATACTGAAGCACAGAGGCTCAAAATGTATCTCTGATCATTAAACCTGCACTTTTTTTTTTTTTWATTAAATGTGATACACAAAAATATTTTCTTGTTAACAGATTTAAAACTGTTAAACTACTATTAACAGACGTTGGTGCTTTAAAGGTGAGATACAGTATTTGTGTGTGTGTGTGCTTGTGTGTCTGTGTGCGTGCGTGTGCATGTGTGCTTTTAGCTCCAGGAAGAAGCCCTTGGAGGGGCCAGCTGCCCCCGAGCCACCTGCATGTTCAGTGAGGTAGAGCTGGGCACACAATACTAGCCAACAGACATGCCAGCTGGTAGCAGTAGTTAATTGAAAGCAGAGGGAGAACAGAACATGACTGTGAGTGTGTGTGATGGGGAGAATAAGATCCTTTGTCCTAACATGCTAATTCAATATAATTCAAGCCAGAAGAAAAATGAATGGAGGTCCAAGGTGAAACCTTTGAAGGGACTTCTCTGGCAATATGTGTCTCTCACATGTGCGGGCGTGTTTACACTGATCTCACCTGGGACACCTGAGTGGCCTCCTCCAAGAAACGTTTCATCTCCTCTTCCCCGTACACAACATTCATGGCAGACCCACTGGTGAGATACAGAGAAAGAGTGTGAGGGAGGGAGAGAGAGAGAGAGACAGTGAGCGAGTGAGTCTCTGTGTGTGTGTGTGTGTGTGTGTGTGTGCGAGGGAGAGAAAACAGAAGAAAAGCTGAAGGCCACAGGAGAGGAAGAGAAGCAAGCAAACAGGAGAACATACAAGCTTCTAATGATTGTTCAAAACACTCATTATCTCTGCGTTGCATCACTATTACCATCGGGAACACGGTCTGGAAACAGTCAAAATAAGGCGCGGGAGAGAAAGAAGGAGAGAAAGGGAGGAGAACAGTTATTTAGGTCGAAAAGCACTCCAGGCTCTTGAAAACAAGTTCAGAACTTTGTCATTAAAAAACAACAGATTTAGGCTGGAGGTTTTTTTTTGTTTTTTTTGTTTTGGTTGTTTTTATCTCCTGTTTGAAAAGGAGAGGTTCAGAGGAACAGGACAGGAAGACCACAGGCTCGGGTCAGAGCTTTATTCCTCAGCTGTCTGTAGCTCAGAGGCAGACATATGTCCAAATCCCAGCCTGAATACTGACCCTTCATTTAAGTACCAGCCACACACGACTCATATATGCACATTAATTCAGGCACATCCTTGACTCGGATGACATCTTCTCCCTGTGTCATTGTCCCCTGGATATTTAGAGGAATCATTCACATCAGACCAATAATTCAGATGAAGTATTAAGAGTGTGAAACGGTTATATTTTTACCCAGTGTGTTAATGAGCATGTATATGTTTATCTCTCCATCAGTCCAGATTGTGCTGCTGCTGCTGTATTAGAAGTGGCGATGGTATTATCTCGTTTGCCTGCTCGATGTTCAAAACGAATGACTTGAATCAGTGGATTAAAGAGTGGGACTGATGTCTTCAAGATGACTGACCACTTGGCAACATGATGGACAAATATTTCACACCACACAGGCACAAATGTCCTGAACAGCGAGTTCCTTGTGTGACTTTGAACTGGTTGATGTCATTTCAAACATGTTATTCACCTATTCTCCTCTCTCTCCTTGCATTTACATTGTGTCTCCACTACATATGTATATTGGTTGACCTGAATAAAAAGGGCTCATACCATATGGGTAAATGATTTGAGTAGTGAGTTTGAGTCTTTCCCTTTCAAATATGTCTGTAAAATAAGAAATTACAATTTATTTATTTTTTTTCCAAATGGTCCACTTGATCCCTCTCTGCAGAAAGTGAAGGTAGGGGAAAGATGTGAGTGAAGAAATGGATGTGAAATTGTCCTGAGAACACGATCAAGCAGGGATTCATGGCTGAACATATCGTAGCCAGCTCACATGGAACAAAGTCAACTGCGACTAAGACTTTGTTTTCAACTTACAACCTGCACCCATACACCACAACAAACATGATTTACTAAACTTCACAGAATAAAGGCCACTGTGACTGGATCCCATCAAACACACCATACATCTGGCTACATTACCAGAAAACATAAACATAACCTAAAACTATCCCGAAAACCTCAACTTTAAACCACATAAACAAAGTAAGAACATTAAAACAATATTCAAAAACCATTACCAAGTATGTCAAGGGACGAGTGAAAACACTTTGGGGAAGGGAGAGATTAGACAGAGGTGAGAAGGGGATGTAACAGTATTCAGTGGTAAGCAGCAGAAGCAAAAGAATCAAAAATTCTGCATAATAATAATCAAGATTATTAATCACATGATTTTGGCTACTTTCAACATCCAGTGGGAATTTTAAAAACTTCTATTTTAAATGAATATGATATTAGGTAAATGTGAACTATTGCCCGACAATGAGGGTTTCCCATAATCCTCAACAAGTACAGATAGATTCCCTTTTATAAAAACAGCACAGTTTGCATGGAAAATGGTTAAAAGTCTTCCAACTTCATTACACATAAGTTTGTTCTCACTGAGGCTACACACAGGGTCCAATCGTGACATCTGCTGGACACAAGTGTCACTGCATGACTGAATAAGCACTCAGGAGAGTCAAGTTCGTTAACCATTACAACTAAAACTGTATTTTACTCAATTATTAATAAAACAGTTCTTAAGGCAACTAAATCACAACGTGTATAAATAAAAAAATACCTACTCCATTAAAAATCCCTTCAATAAAAGATCATCCAGTGCCCATCCTGACCTCATCTGTTAATCTTAACGCTGGCATAATAGACAGCTGACATGAAATGATTGACTGCACTTCAGTCTCACTGTTGTATGTACAGTAATAGTAAGCTCTGTCTCCTGCTGTATGTTGACCAACCTTTGGTAAAACTCACCTGAGGACGTAGGAGGGGCGGAGCAGACAGGGATAGCCGACCTGGTTGGCGAACGAAAAGGCATCTTCCTGTGAAAGGCAAAGAACGCTTATTAAATATTAGAAGGACAGAGAACGTCATGTAAGAACAGTGACACCAGTAAGCAGCGATACATCTACACAGTACGATCAAATATGACATTTTTGAAAATGTATATAAAAAACATGTTAATATTTATAGCTTCATTAAAGTAAACAGTAAATAATTCAAATTCAAAAAACAGCATTGAGCCAATTTGTTCTCCTGCTTTTACTCAATTCACCTTTTATAGCTACAGGAAGTAGAGATGTAAAACTTTATTAACACATCTCACTGCTTAAACACTGTCTCTGAGGTATGGATCATTTTCAAGTGTACACCCAGACATATTCTAACAAACACAATTACAACAGAGAAAGTCTATAAACAACAAAAGACCCATTCCTTCAAAATAAAAAAAAGAAAGAGTGATTCAGAAAGTAGGAATTTTAAGAGGGTTTTCAAATAAGGACACTTGATATTTGTTGTGTATTTGAACATTTATGCAACTTTTAAAGAATGTATGTAATGTTTAAAAGGTGTATGATTAGAGAGAGGAAATTATGTATTGATATCAAGCTGTGCTCGACCTTGTTGCAAAATAAAATAAGCTTTTATTTTACCTGTTCTCAATTCAACCATACACAATTTAGCAGGTTTCAGGAGAGAATGCTCCTGTGTCTGCCAAAACAAAAACTAATGAAAAGAGCAGGAGGGAGAATATCAGTGCTTCAACAGTCAGTAAGTGGCGCCTCAGTTCATCTCCCTTTTGATTTGTTTTTCTTCCAAAAGAAAGAGTGGGAGTTGTGGTGGGAGTCTAACAGTGAGAGATGTGGTATGTCCTTCTCCTCATCATCATTATCATCATCACTTTTTCTCTCCGACTCTCTGCAGGACTAGCCTTTTCCTCTCCATCATTACCCACTGTTCACTCGCCAGGGGTGGAGTACCAATTACAAACAAACAAACACAAGACTCATCTCCCCACGGCTCGTCTGAGTTATTCTGGCCCAATAAAAACAAACTGTTTCATCAAGATCGGCAGGGAAATGGGAGCTGTAGGTAGACTCTGGAGAGGCGCAGGACTTTATCTGTGCGTGTCCCAGCTAATCGCTCCTTGTGGTAGCTGAGCTCATGAGCAACAGTTATATGGTTGAGGAATATTCCAGACACACATTTCAGTGATCCTCACATTCCACAGAGAGGTTTGCCGGTGCTTTGTTCTGACTAAGCCGTGAGCGAGTTGAAAAGGCCAAAACACAAGACTGTGAGTATCTGAGCTTCATAGAGGAAGAAAGTTCTAAAAATGATGAGTAAAGTTCCGTCTGTAGGGAATCATGTAATGTAAGTTTTTGGTTAATATTTAGTTATCAAAATAGTTAAGATTGATGAAAATGAAAGAAGCATCATTTGCACCCACATACTTATACTGGGAAACTATGTTGTGAAAGCAAAAGTTTTCTTGGATAACTCACATAATTATTGTTAGTGGAGGAGATGATGCAATCACTTAGTTTTTTCCCTTCAAAGGCAGAAAATGTCTGCAAAGCTGTAATTTCAGTTCCCTACTTTTTTACAATACAGTATGACTTCTTTTAAATTTCATTTAAAAAATAGTAAAAGCTATGACACTCTCTTTAAGGCCTATTGTGCTAATACTCAGGGTCCTAATTGTATTATGCATTATTACTTAAAAAGGTTTCCAGCTCTATTGACAAAATGTTTAAGGAGCTTCAGGAGCAGTGTTTTCTGTAGTAGGTCGGGAAGGTACATTATCTGAGAGCAAAATTAATACTGTGATACAAAATTAGTTCCTGCTCCACAACACTTACAAACCTTGTTTTGGGAGACATTAAATACATATTCTGAGCATACCTTCACAGTTCATATCACAAAATGTGATAATAATTTTCCATTAATGCTGCTACTCTCCATTATTTATATCTTTCCTCTCACCAGAGAACTGAGAGCCCTCCATGGGGCCTGGGCCACCCCGAGGTCATCGAGGACACTGGAGAAGACGGAGCGCTCCTCAGCCCGGTCAATCTGCAAGGGGCTCGTCCCGAGAATCTTCACCCCGTTCAGGTGCAACGGGACGGCAAGATTGTTGGGGATCTGGCCTCCCACTGACACGATGCTGCCTGAGCAACCCTGGAGGAGAGGAGGAGAGGAAACAGAGGACTGAATAACATTAACAATAAAATATGTCAGGTCACGTCTTGGACCTCCTGCCACAGGCCCTTCAGCCAAGCTATACATACATGAAACCTGAGGCCAAATCATATTACTCCAGAGACTAATCACACAGTGAAGATATGGGACTAAGACACTTGATGTTGGATGTACCATAGGTTTAGTTATACAGGGATGGTGTGTATGGTGCATTCAGAGAGTGCATTTTGTTGTCTTTCTGGTAGAAATCCAAAATAAGATCATAAAGCCAATGCAGAGCTGACTTATGTTAAAATCATTCATTTCATTAATTGTCAAAATAAATTGTTGTCCTCATAATGACAAAATGAAAACGATTTTTAAATCGTTATTTCATACTGACATAAGTATTCAGACCCTTTACTCAGCACTTTGTTGAAGCACCTCTGAGGGCGATTACATCTTCGAAGCTTCTTAGGTTTGACGTGACAAGCTCTGCACCTGGATTTGGGGATTTTCTGCCATTCTTCCCTGCAGATCCTCTCTAGCTCTGTCAGGCTGGATGGAGACTGTGGGGTGAACAGCCTTTTTCCAATGTCTCCAGAGATGTCTGATTGGGTTCAAGTCGGGGCTCTGGGCCGCGTCACCCCAGGACATTCACAGGGTTAGAGGCGAAATGAATATTGACAGTTGTGTGTCCCTTCAAATTATGTCCAATCATTTGAATTTGCCACAGATGGACTTTCATCAAGGAGACGTCTCAAAGATGTTCGAGAGAAATGAGGGAAACCTGAGTATAATTACAAGTGTCATAGTTACATAAGTGAACATTATGTAACCATGACATTTCAGTTTCTCTATCTTGGTAAATTTCTAAAATTATGTTTTCACTTTGCCGTTATGGGGTATTGATGAGGGGGGGGAATTCATTTCAAAGAAAAGACTTGCAAGACAAAGTTTAGAGTCAGAATACTTTCTAAGGCTCTATATAAGAGAGAGTGTGTGTGTGTGTGTGTGTGTGTGTGTGTGTGTGTGTGTGTGTGTGTGTGTGTGTGTGTGTCTCAGAACAAGTGTGTATGCTCCAGCCCCTTTTCCTGCCGAGCTGATCCAGGGGGATGCTGTTTCCATGGCAATGCCAGGTTGTATCTCTTCATTATTCATGGAGCTGCTCTCCTGTTCCTGTCCAGGCTTTATCTCCATGCTCTAATGCCGAATTTATCACTCAGACACACATTAAAAGAAAGTGGGGACTGTAGCTCTGACAGAGGGATAGATGGTAATACCATCTCCCAGAGCAAACAAACACTTCATCTGACTCCGATGCCGTCGCAACTTTAACTGGATTACAACAGTTCCTCTGCAAGAGAAAGTCAATGGACTTTTGGTGAGCAAAGACACATTTCAACATAAATACAAAGATGCCAGCAAACATATATTGTGCAGAGGAAACATAAGGGAAGTCGTCACTATTCTTGAACTTGTGCATGTTTTATAACCCTAAGGCTGACCTCACACACCTCAGAGGAGCACTGGACAGTAAGGTGGAAATGATGTATCATTAACCCATCATGACAAAACATATTAATTCACACTTTATGTATATTCTGAATATAATAATAATAATACAATTATAATATTTTGAGCTCTTGACCAATCATGAGTCAGTCTCAGCTGTCAATCATGACATATCACCACATTTTAATAGCATCATTAACTAATGAAAACCAAACTTCATAGAAAAACACTTGATCAAAACGACAGAGAATAAATTTGAAAACAAAAGTATTTGACGTGCACTTTGACTTTTTAATTTGGTCCATGTCACATCCACTAACATGGAGGCGGCAGGTTTTATGAATCGTACTGCAGCCATCCACCAGGGCAGGATCAAAACATGACTTAGACAGCAAACTGATACTTACAAATTGTGATACTCTATTATATTTCTCAATGACACTAGAAGTCTTACAGATGATATACATCAAAACTATGGGTACTAATTGTTCATAAAAAAGTTAACAGAAGAAATTTCCAGTTTCCGTAAATAAAATGAACTTTTATAGAACTCCTCCATAAAATGACCCAAAAGCTTCACAGCGATGTAAAATCACCATCTAAGATAAATTAACCCCCTAAAAAACCTATTTAACAAGCTCAACCCAATGAACTGAGTGTAACCGAACGCTCATTAAAGACTGAAAACCCAGAAAAAAATCCTCTCACCTGTAATTACAGAAAGCTAAGCTCTTAAATCTTAGATGAGCCTATAGTCCTGCATAATACATGCCCCCATTAGGACCAATTCAGAGTTTTCCCGGCTTCTATTTGACAAAGAGAGAGAAAGAGGTTTTGTTTGACTGTGTTAATGCCCGACACCATTCTGCAGGATAAAGCAGAAAAAGCTTTGTGCTTTACCACTTACTGAGCATGGTTTGAGTTTATATACGAATATGAATCAGCAGAGAACTTCTGGATGTATTGTTGGCTATGTTTCATGAGAAGAGAATGCTTGTTTTTTTTGGTCCCCAGCACAGTGGACACCTTCTCTGTAAAACAAGGCACAATCAGGCTAATGTTTCATTTCTAAAGTTTTTAAAGTAAAATAATTAATGTAGTGTTTAAGTTAGAGAAACGATTAGGCCTTCATGTGTATGTGCACTAGTGTCAGAGCACTACATCTATCTGCCACTAATATTGAGTTAATATCATTTTTTATTTATATTATGCTGACATTTCCCACCTCAGACCCGGTTGACATGATGCATTTATTTTATTATAAATGAATTGTGAAATTGATCAATAGTACTCTGCCTATGGGAAGCCTGAAATTGATTGCAAGGCAATATTTCAATCACATTCTAATCAATTCACATGAATATACAAGTATTTATTTATATTGATATAACCCTGTGATAGATGGGTGACCACACCAGAATGTCCTGACTCACTCCCAGTGCATGTTGGGATACAGCCAGTGATTTAGACCAGGAGATTGTGAAAAGGTTTCGATAAAAGTTGTAGTGTCTTGTAGTTTCATTGGAAACGAGTTGAAGAATTCCATCATTGATTAATACATGTTCTTTGCAATGATACTAGGGAATTCTAAACCTGTGTATTTTGTTTGAATTCATTCAAATGAAAAATCTTTGCACGTGTGTTCTAACCTCTTGCTGGCTGATGTCCAGGACGCGCTCCAGCGTCAGCTCTTCGAAATAAAGTCGGTCACATTCATCAAAGTCGGTGCTGACGGTCTCAGGGTTGTGGTTCACCACCACCGTCTTCTTCCCCATCTGTCTCAAGGCCCTGATGCTGGACACCGCACACCAGTCGAACTCAACGCTGCTCCCTGGTGGATCAAACCACTGTTAATTGAGAACTTTTAAATTCACGAATCCAGCATAAGAAATGCATCACTGCATCAGAAGCATGTAGAGAAAGAAGGCTTATTACTTTTTTAATGAAAATGATGAAACTTGAAAAATCTTATGGTTAGAATTTTGTGTTTCAACCACATTTTGTTTTGTATGGTACACTACTGAAGATGCCCAGTTTTGTTTATTGCTATTAACCCCCATCTCTTCTGAATAACATTTGATTAGAGCAGATAAACTTTCCATTACATCTTGCCAAACTAAAATAGCCAATCAATAGCAAAGTGGTAAAAACTCCTGCCAAATGGTGTCATGAGAAAATATAAGGAGGGCAATTTCTGTCTTTCATAGAGGATACAATTTCTTTTAACAATACATTTAATACTTTAAATAAATAATCTATTATGTGAAAATTCATAGACAGTTTTTAAAAACATTACCGGCAGTTTAAAATGATTTGAACAGCATTAAAATGAGCTTATTTGACTCACCGATGTGGTACGGGCCACAACCAAGTACCATGATTCCCTGGTCTTTAAAGTCCAGATCATGCTCCTGTTGAAATAAATACATTTAAAAACTCAGTTCAGTTAATGTCTAACTTTTGACACTAGAAAGAAACCACTCATAATTAATCAATACTAGTAACCAGACATTATTTCATACCAAAATAAAATGTTTTATTAATAGTTATTCAATGATAGAATGGGTAACATACTGTGCATACATGCATCACGTCACTAACTCTATAATGTGTATATTTTCCTCTAGTAGCAGGAACCACATACCTGACCATGATATGTACAATACAGGTAGTTGGTCATAGCTGGATATTCTGCCGCCAAGGTGTCGATCTGAGAAAACAAATGTGCAAATGGGTCATTCATTCTTTCACATGTAACAGAAAATTAGTAAGTAATAAAAAATACATTTATCGAGTAGCACACTCTATACACTGTAACACCTGAACCGCAGCAAGCACTAGTCCTGTAAAACTTTTCTTCCAAGTAACTTCTGCTGTCTAAAAACTTGTGTCAAACTATTAAAGCTTTGGTTAATCAATCAGAATGATGTCAATATTAACATTGAACTGAAAAATCCAAATACTTACCAATTCTCACAAGTGAAAAAATAGCATTCTATATTTTATTTTCAATTTTTTATGAAGTCAGTATTGAAACAGATAGTAAAATGACCAACACTTTAAGCTTATGTAAGTTTTGACCAGTGAATCTTGATTATCATCACAACAATACACATCAGTGTGGAGGGGACAGACCCCCTTTTTAGCTCATTACATATTTGCATGCTCTGTTCATTTACTTTTGTGGCAACATGAAACTACTCTGTGAGTGGTGAGTGTGCGTTTCAAGCAGGGTCACTTATTGAGTGAACTGACTGTGTCACATATAGTTAAATCTCAGGGTATCCGACCTGTGCTAGAGGCTTCCAGTAAGAGTCCGGTGAAACTCACCTGTTTGACCCACGGTCTGATCCCGTGAGTGAGCCTCAGTTCTCTGGCCGCTCTCTCACTGGAGCCCAGAAGCTGACCAACCTGCCGGTCTGAGAAGCCGTCCTGCTTTGCCTTTAGCAGCAGGTCTTTAGGTACTGTGCTACTGTGGGAGACAACAAAAAAAGAAATGGTAACTAGACGGTGGTTTTGTTAAAATTAGAAAACCTCATACCTCTGACAAAGTTTACAAATCCCCATTTATGCCCAAAAAAATTGCATGATTCACTGTTAAATTCCTTCTGACACACATCAGTCTGTCTCCAGCTTAAAGGTTTAAAACCCAACATACCTGCCATGTTGTGTGAGGAAACATTTATGAGGTACTGAAGTGAGTATATTTTTGAAGGTCTTTTCTTTCTGCTTGTGGGATTTTCAAATCCACTGCACTAAGAGGGTCAATCGAGCAGACGGGTCATGACTGGCTTGCCTACCCAGCAGGGTGGACTTCAGGGAGCGGCCCAGCTCAAGCGATCAATAACACATCGACAAACAAGGCGCAGAGCTGCCAGAGCACCAGGTTGGGAAGTGCACCATTTAAAATCCATTTTAATCGATGAAACTTTAATGCAAACTGTGAGCTTTAACAGAAAAATTGTAGCAGAAATAAAATGTTGTGTCAAGAGGCAATTTTGAACTGGAACAACAGGAAAGAACCTCTATAAAAACATGTTTTCTTCACACCTTCAAATACATTTTGACCAGTTCTTTAATGCACTTGACTATACAGTGCAGTTTGCTGTCTGTAATGATGTACTCTTTTATGGCTGACTGGACGTGATGGGAGGAGAAAGGTGGTTTAACTACCTCAGATAAATGAACGGACATATCAAGTTTGAATCAATGGATGTAAATAATGTTACTGAAGTGACTTTAAAGTCGACACAAGCTCTGGAACATATCACAGAATGGTGAAACCAGACAGTGTACGAACTGACAGAGAAATCTAATCAGACAACGGGCTTCCTTCAGTATAAAAGTGCTCAGCCAGTCAAGTGTAAACACTGAAATAAGACATTTTGCTATATCTCTCCTTGTTACTTACGTTCTGGCCTATATCCACTCATGTTTTACAGATGTGTGAAATAACTACATAGTACTTAAAAAAAAAAATTTGTGTCAAGAGGCAGCAGTAGCAAATAATCATTGACCTTATTGTGAAGAAGACATTACATTTAGATTTGTTTACAAGAGTTTCTGAAAGAATATTTCCTTCACATTCCTGTTTACAAGTTACAGAGCTTAGTCAGACCGTGACTCTTGTCAACATAACGTCCTACTACTTGTTGACATTCAAAGCCAGGGTCACGTGTTGTGTCATGTGTTGTACTTGCTGTATGTCAAAATATTGCCTTCAAAATGTTCTTGTTAGCATGTCGAGTGATATTTCCCAGAAGGCTATGCAACAATACATTAGAAGTCAGCTGGGTTTTCAGCTGCACATGATAGATGCTGGTGTCAATGGCTTCAATTGTTAAAACCACACTATGTGTTTTCCTCTGACAGAGTTCGGCCAATTGTCTCTGTTAAACTGAACGCATGGATGCACTGTGATGAAAGCCAAATTGATCAACTCATCTCGCTCCAACTATAAAACTAATAGTTTCCATTTTGTTGCAGTTAGAGATGACAGGAAGGAATTCTTATATCTGGTGAAAGCCAATGAATTATTTATGACTTTGTAACATAACAGTATTGAAAATGTAAAATGTATTTTAACTCCCACTGCACACAGCTGGGCCCAGAAATAACAAATCCCAGGAACAACACAAGGTGAGAGTCAGAATCAAAGAATCAAGATATTCTCTCTCAGAGCGAAGTTCTGGTCTGTGCACAACTTTCCCCCCTGAAAACAAGTTTTAGTCAGAGGTAAACCCTTCACAATCTGACTTAATGATGGCGGGAAGCAATTTCTGTGATTTCACACATTTTTCAGTTGATTAAGTCTGAACCATATTACAATGATACTTGTGTGTTGCATAATTGCCGTTCTCTTAATTGTAATTCATGTCATGCCCGGAGCTTATATACCTAATGATCTGTGTCCTCATACGCAGGTGTACTGGTGCTCTGCTCCGTGTAATCAGGCTTAAACATATGAAGTGTTTGTCAGGTCTCCATTAGGAACATGGAAAACACTGCAGCCATTATCTAGTACTTCGGTAAAGATACAGGAACTATGATTGAGTCTTATCATAGCTTTGAATGGAATGTGGATGAAAATATATATATATATTAGAATGTGTCTCAACTCACCCCCTCTGTTCAGCAGATGCAAACACACGTACATCATTTCTGTTCTCAAAGACATAATCAAGTTGTTTTAGTCAGTCTTGACTATACAGATGGTTCTGTTGTGTGTCAGTGTGAGAAAGGAAGAGGAACAGCAGAGCAAATCAATCATCTGCATGCAGCTCTAACACGAAATAAGGTTTTACTTATGGATGCTCATCTCTTTTAAATATGATTATACTGTATGATTCAATAACAGCACTTAATTTTGTATTAATTGTGTGAACAAAGACTATTTTTCTATTGTTTACAGACGAGGGAAATAGCTTCTTTAATAGAACCGACTACATTTCTCTTCTAATCTTAATCTACACAACAATCTGTAAGTGACTCTTAAATATCCACCAGTCCAAGCTATAGCAATCAAAGAACCAACAGTCCCATACACACAAACATCCAAGTCAGCAGAGCCTGAAGTCCAGCTGTACTCAGCGCTACGCTCCATCAGTCTGCCACCACCAGCCTATTGTTGTGTCTCCATCCCAATGTCCCCTGCCCCAGAGGCAGTGGAGACTACAACAGCACTTCTATGTGTCAGCGTGTAGCGGTGGCTGCCCACCAGACAGCCAGCCATTAATTATTAAACAGCGTAGTCAGAGGAAAGCAGCGGGTTACCTGTGGCTGAGCCATGAAAATTCACAGTGGCTTTGATTTGAGCTGTCCAGGTAAGAGCCAGAGGGCAGATAGACAGCGAGGGCTGCGGCTGAGAGGAGGTGAACCACGGCAGGGGAGGAAACAGGGACGTGAAGAGACTGAGGTTCATCTCATTTTTGAAGACAGACATTTTTGAAGTGAAAAATGCGCAGTAATTTCTACAATTTCTACATTTTCGACAGACATTTTTAGTCAATTTCTAAATCTCTTTCTACCCAGAGGAAGCATGCAAGTCAAAAAAGGAAGCAGGGATAAGAGGGTGTCCAAGCAAACCTGCATTGAAGAAAATTTAACTTAAAAGCGATGGTACGAAAGCAAAGCTTCCAAATCCATTCATGTGAGTATTAAATCAAATCTTGTGTAGTTTCCTGGGGCAAATAGCTTTATATTATACATACAGTCATTATGTAGGTTGCTGTGTATTAATCAGACGCTGCGAGCCTTCACAGTGTTTGTGTTTCAGAAATATTTTGCATTGTAATGCCATAAGAAAAAGAACACTGAACTCATTTGTTTAAAACAAAGAAAATAATTTAGCTGAAACTTTGATCTATTTAAGTCAGCAGTGACCCACCTCTCCGTAGCAAAGGAAGAAAACTACTCTGCTAACCGACTAAGTCTATACTGAAGTAATAATAAGATAACTCTGATATATTCAGTTAAAACTATTTGAGGTTCAACTCAACAGATGGTTGACAGATTGTCGGATGGGGCAAATCTGCTCAATTCCTCTACTGTGCATCAGCCTTGAATAGACAAAATGCAAGCAAATTCAAGAAAACCATGGTGAAAGCAGCACAGCCGACAACAGATGTGTTTCCAGGGGACATGAAAAAAACATATGAACCCGTCTGAGACACTTTAATACTTTGTGACTTTTACAGTTACGAAGTTGGTTTCTTGTCAGTGGTGTAAAATGAGCTAGATGAGCATGTGCAGTAGGCGTACATTATTTAACACAAGTGTAACTGTCACCCTAGGTTTTAAGGATAATCAGAAAACACACTGCAGAGACAAACACATCAGCACTGTGCAAACATACACAAACAGAAAAGTAAATCAGAAGCATTAAACCACTTTAGATGCTAAAATGAATCGTATCGATTTAATTCATAATTCAGCAGCAAAGGAATTGACATGCACGTTACGGACATAACGTTTAACATTACCTCTTGTAGTTTGCCAGGTGCTGCTCCAGCTGTGTTATCCTGTGGAGTTTGTGAAGGAACCACTTGTCAATGGCCGTCAGCTGGTGGATCTGATCCACAGTCGTACCACTGTGGAGAGCCTAAAACACACCAGGCCCGAAACAGACTCAGTGTTACATTTGCCAGGTTCATCGTACGTGTGCTTTGTTGTAGACATCCAGTAGGTTTCACAAAGTTTCAACAAATTTTAATAATCAGTTGCTCTTAATTAAAATCATGTTACAAGTTGATGGTCATTTCTTCTGGTTAAAAATACTGCAGGAACAATGTATAATATTACTGCTTACTGCTGCAGATGAAGCTGCTAGTAATTACTGTGACTTTCAGTGGAATATTTTAATTGCATAGACAGTGCCTATTTAAGTACTTTTTTTTTTTTAACGTAATCGCATTCTATGGAACAAATAGATTATGTATCAAATGTTCTAGAGTCCTGCCTGTGTTTTGGTGTTTTTGAGAATTGATAACTGCCTGAGCTGCAAAAGTAGCAGGGACATACTGAAGGTTTGCAATTACAATACATTTTTGATAACCTTCTGATTTCATTGTGCCTTGAATCACCCTGTGCCAGATGCACCAAAGCGACAACATAACATAACCGGGCCTCCCTGGGGGTGTTCCATTCTTTGAAAGCGTACTATTTTTCTTTATGCGTACATGGAGCTAATGTGACTTCGCAAAAAGCTCTGATTGTGTTTCATCTGTCCACAGCACAGTCTCCCTGAGGCACTTTAGCTCATTACCATGCATTTCAGCAAAAAGTGGGGTCTTTGTGTTTTTTTTCTTCCATGCAGCCATCTCTCTTTCAGAACAGGACATAACATATGGTGCGACGGGAAACTGTTGCAGGTTGATCTCCCTTGGATCCTTTCCAACCATTCAAAGTATCCTTCTGTTCAATCTGGGGTTAATTTTCATCTTGCAGCAACATCCAGGGATGTTGCATACGATCACGTTTTGGACACTTTGGCCTTTATTGATTGGACAGCAAATGCATGAAAATATAGATGCTTTTATATTTTTATTGAAAAATTAATTTAAACGTGAGGGGGAAAGTTCATATTTGAGCTTTTACTCAAAATATAGTCTTGTCAGTCGATCTGAAGTAGGTAGTCTCCTGATCCAGCAGAGGGCGATCACTGTCAGCTTAACCTATCTGGAAAGCCGGTCTGTGATGCTATGTTATTTTGCGACGAAAACAGAGACTGCTAGCAACCAAACCCAAACAAATGAAGAAGAAAGAGAAGCTATCAAATATGAAGGGTAATAAGAGATGCACTACCGAATGGGGAAGAAGAAGAGGATATTGAAACACAGTTGATGGCAGTAATGCACCCTGACATTGGTTACCACCCTCCAATATACCAAAGGATGAAGAGCAAGTCATGTCAAACTCCTTCAAACGTTATTTTTTGGAAAAACTGACAGCTGTAATAAATGGGCCGCCCATGAGCTGATTATTCTAAATCATTTTGTACAATTCTCCATCTAAGTTCAGTGTGGTGAACACTAACTTTTCCTCCATTTTAATAGGCGGAATAACTTCCAAGAAACCTTTGATAATTATTAAAAAGAGCCTGCTGGAAATGTCACTATAATCCATTTATTTATCAGCACTTCTGATGGGTGCCAATAACATTCAGCTTCTTCATTTTTTCAGCAAAAATTCAGTTATTTTCTTTGTTTAATTCCACTGCAAACCAAAGGCAGGTAGGCATGCATCGTAATAGAGCTGTTAATTTCTACACTCTTCTGGAATGGAGACACGTTTTAATGATTTGCAAGGGCACCTACACTTTGGACTACGTCTGTAGCTGGTGTTTGATTGCCTGGAGATAAGATATGGCTCATTAATCCCTAATGACGTCGCCATCGCCGATGATCTCACTCCATACTTAAGGGAGCATATCCGTCTCCACTGTCACGACACTGAGCTCACATAGCTGGAGGTTTTGACACTGACACAACCTCTGTTGCTTCTCTGCTGCAAGAGCCGGACATGATGTTTTAACCTAGTATCAATTCATGCAGCATCTCTGCGTTAGAATGACGGAGCTTGACCCTGTGCTTTTAAAAGAGCAGTTTCACCCACATTTCATTATATGAGAAAAACACAGACTAACAGCAAAGTATCAGGGAAGAAAACAAAAAAAAGCATATTTCAGATGATTACCCACATTAGTGAATATCTGAGAAGACTCTGCTGTGTGTTAGATAATCAAACACTGTTTATGTGTGTTTCCGAGGAATAATAACAACCTATAACACCTCTGCATCTATTTAAGTCAATCTCAATTTCAAAGACAAGCATTTCCACACAATTAGGCATTCACAGCTCGGCATGCAGGACGGCCAGGGACACATTTTTCTTCTCTGCATTTCATGTTTTTTTGATGGTATTTTTTTTTTTGACACTTCAAAATGTGATTGTAATGAGAAAACTGTAGTTGGTGTCATTCATTATTAACGCTATGAAAGATTAGTGTACCTTGGCGAGGGAGAAGATGCGGGTGCTGGAGGGCACAGCCAGCTCCTGCTGCAAGTCCTGGGTGTCAGCCCAGGCTTTCCTGAGTGGCAGGCGGGGCATGAAGCCATCTACTGATGGATGACACATCCGCAGGGCTTTCTGCACACTCTCCTCAAAGGTCCGGCCCACTGCCATCACCTGAATCCAGAAGAGGGGATTACAGGACGATAAAATATGGGTGTGAGCACAGTGAATAAGCGAGTGAGGTGGTGAGTGTTTATCCACGGATCCTCCCCCACCTCTCCGACACTCTTCATGGCGCTGCCTATTTCACTGGACATGCCCTGAAAGCGGTCCAAGTCCCAGCGGGGGATCTTAGTGACGATGTAGTCCAGACTGGGTTCAAAGCAGGCAGTGGTCTTCTCCGATACGGCATTCTTGATCTCTGGTAGGGGGATTCCCAGAGCCAGCTTAGCAGCTACAAATGCTAACGGGTACCTATGAGACAAGGACCGAACAGAATAAACTGATGATAGACAACAGTCGCAGAGTTTCTGAAAAGAAAAATATTTTCACATCAAACAGAATATCCTGAATAAAACTTTAATTCTGTATTTTACTCTACTAAAAAAACATTCCAGACCTTATTTTTGTCAAATATTTGGACTCAATCTAAATTGTAATTTACTTACATGTTATATATTTTCATAGTAAATACCTTTAAGTGTGAGTGTGTGTGAGTGTGTGTGTGTGTGTGTGTGTGTGTGTGTGTGTGTGTGTGTGTGTGTGATCTAAATGTCTGGACTTATAAGACCACAAGACAAACTGCTCCTGAGATTATATATGGTGCAGAGGAACTCCTCTTTCAGTTATTTTTAGAGATCATAAACCTTGTGCCTGACTAAGCCCCAAGAGAAAATCCCCCAAGACAAATGATTCTATGTACTGCACATTACCTACTCCTCGATATGCATTTTAGATTTTATTTGAAGCCGCATGCAGTGTGTGTTTTGTGTTCACATGGAATAATTCTCTCACCCAGTGGCTTTGGAGGCCAGAGCCGAGCTCCTGGAGAGCCGTGCGTTCACCTCAATAATGCAGTATTCCAGGGATGAAGGGTGGAGGGCGTACTGGATGTTGCATTCACCTACAATGCCAAGGTGACGGACAACCTTGATGGCCGTCTCACGGAGCATGTGGTACTCCTCGTTGGACAGCGTCTGGCTCGGTGCTACTACTATAGAGTCGCCTGAAGAGGAAGAAGATGAGGTGACTTTAACAGTATGAACAGTTTTTGGTTGATGAGAAAGTGATAGGAAAAAGACACGCATTGCATTGATCTTTCTTACAGAAAAATTATAACATAAAGCAACAAAATTCTGCTTCTCATTTGGATTTTTAACTAAAGCCACAAAAGGCTGCTTCTCATTTGGATTTTAAACTAAGAAGAACCAATATCCCACTTAAAGAATTCCAATCTAAAATTTTTTATTTCCTTTGCTTCCAAATATTGAACAATTATCTGGACATCAAAAAACCAAACATTTCCGCCTGTGTCATCTGAAGTCTTTATGATGTCACTACATGTTCTGTATAAATACTATTCAGTCCTAATAATCAGCAATAAAAATCTGTATAACAATTGTTTATTATTATTTGGATCTTCACCAAATCACACACACCCACTTATCTGAGAAATTAAGATAAATGTGGAAAAAGAACCTCTCTCGCAATGTAAAAGAAAACGAAATTCCGAAATCTGTTCCAAAATGTGATGGGTTTTTCTTCGGGTCATTCCCCTTCCCACCACAAAGTCTCATGGAAATAGGATGGGCAGTTTTTGTGTCATACTGCAAAAAACGCAGATGAAAATATAACATCCTTGACAGAGGTAATTATTTATAAGGTCCAGGAAGCTCTGGGGCCAGAAATATATTGCATTTTAGATAAAACAATACTTCTGTGTTTCTCTGGACTTTGTAAAGAACACAAGGAGAACACAAACCACCTTTAATCTTATGAACGCTTCACGTGTCTCAGTCTGTGCGAGCGCTGGATGTTGGCTATGAGAACTGAGCTAAACCCAAAGGCTTAAGTTTGCCATTTCACTATTGATTTTCAGTGCTTTTCTTGATCTGTAAAAACAACAACAAAAATATGTTGTTGAAGCGCAAATACTTTTTTCTCACCACTTCATCCCATTTTGTTGCCAGGGGTCAAGATAAACCACTGCCCCACCAAATGCAGATTTTGTTCTTAACAATAATAACCCTAAAAAATCAATTAGATTAAGTACAAAACAGGACCACTGCTCATCACAGAAAAGTCTAGTCTTTAAAAAAAAAAAGGGAGGAAAAAGGAAAACACAGTAAAAAGTCAACAAAACAATAAGACATCATCTCACCAGGTGAGCAGCAAGCTCCGTTAACATTAGTAACTCGTTCAGCCGAGAATAAGAATACAAGCAGCAAACAGTTGTATGCCTCCGCACACTCCTGCAGTTTCTGTCTACATCATTTTTTTCCAGACTCACATGAGATCACAGTGACCACTGAAATCTTACCAATTTGATTTATTTTTTAAACAGATTTTGAGAAAACATGTTCAAAAGGCCAAAAATATGTTTTGTGAGGCCGCTGAGACATTTGACCACACAAATCTAATCAGTGAAAGATTCTCTCAAGTAATTCTTAAGGGAACAAATCTCATCAGTTAACTCATGTTTCTCAGTGGACATCTGCACCAAATTTGAAAAGATTCCCTCAAGGCTTTTTGAGATATTAATTTCAAAAGACTAGAATAGACAGACGGACAACCAGAAATCACTAAACAGATCCTGTAATGGTTTTGAAGAAGACACTATTATCTAGTGTGTACTGAATGTTTGGTACCTGTGTGAATGCCCAGTGGGTCAAAGTTCTCCATGTTGCACACAGTGACGCAGTTATCAGCCACGTCTCGCACCACCTCATATTCCACCTCCTTCCAGCCCAGCAGAGACTTCTCCACCAGGATCTGACTGCTCATGGCCAGAGCCTATACAAAATATTTTAACATATTAACACTTTTTGAGGTCTTAAATTCAGATTATTGAATTCAATACTTTTTTTTAGACTTTTTAAGAACCTGCAGAAAACCCTGTATGTGTGACTTCTACTGCTGCATGTTATGATAGTACTAAACATAAAAAAAAAATTCTCCAGGACATGGAGTTGAAGGGTTTGCCTCAAGACGTAATGAACTATTTCTTTGCCCTGTAATTTGATTTTTTTTAAAAACAGCTGAACAACCACCAACAATAACTGATAAACATTTACCACTTAAACCCCCAAAATGATACAAAACAAAAATGATTTTCAAATACCAGATAAAAAAAAGTGCATGGCATTAAAGCAATGTATTTCCATCTAATACACTCTAGCATAGACAGTTCATTTTGCAGTTATGTGATCACAGATTAGAAACAACTGAGCTGCCAGACATGAAGCTGGATACTGGATGAGCATAAAAGAATGTTGCTTAGCAACAGCGAACTATTCCTTTCTTGGAAGAGGACCAAAAGACACATATCTAAACTATCTAAAGCTTTTTTCTGTTTGCAGGTTTGTGCTGCAAACAGGTGAAGGTACAAAACTGTCAGTAAAGGTCTGAGTAAAATGTGTCATTTACTGATTTGATAGGAATGATTGACTAACTGTGAAGAAAATAAATACAGAGAAAAACTATTATAATTGTAGCCAGATGTCAACCAGCCTGCTGAGCAGTATTTCTTCTGACCTTGTGGGCGGTTTCGTCGAGGATGTCTTTGTTGGCACAGAGACCAGAGCCCAGACCTCCAAGGGCATAGGCCGATCGTAACATCACTGGGTAACCAATCCGCTCTGCTGCCTTCAACGCATCAGTCACCTGGAAGATGCACACAAATATTACTCCCCAAAAAGAAAAGAAAGCTATAATAACCCATTACAGGACATGGAGAATATATCTCTATAGTAATACTACACAGACTTGGGGAGTGACTGGACAGGAAGTGTATCTGTTTTTTTTGTGAGTGATTTTGGGTCCTTACCGACTCTACAGCGAAACTGGGTGCGATCTTCTCATTGATTTCCATCAGTTTGTCAGCAAAAAGCTGTCTGTCCTCTGTGGCCATGATGGACTCCACCGGGGTTCCGAGGACCTTCACCCCGTACTTCTCCAGGACGCCACGCTGGAACAACTCTACTCCTGAACGCCACACAAACACAAGTAGAGATATATGGTTAAAACCCAAGCCATGAAAAAAAAAATTGTGGAAAAACTCACTGAACACAACATATGTAAGCATTTTTAGTTAATATCTAAATCCCAACCATAGACTCTACATAAAAATCAAACACGACAGGTCCCCAAAAAGTGAAGCCAAAGCATCCTGATTGCCAACTGGTGGCTGGCGGTTGTATAGTTCATAAATCTGGCTTCTGTATTTGAATTTAATTTGGATTTAATCGTTTATTTGATACTATAAAAACAGGGTGAAACATTATGATTGACAGCTGAGACTGATTGGTTGAGCGCATGTAGCAGTGGGACCATGCTACCCTGGCACCATCCCATGATCATAGCAGCTTTCTTATCCTGGATATTTGGCTTCATTTCTGGATAGTGGGAGGAAGGGAAGACATGTCATCCGTCTTTCTATATTGAGGCTATGGTCCCAAGACAAAAAAGAGTTTTGCTCTACTTACTGATCTGCACAAAGAATTCAACCTCAAAAACAGTGATTCCACATATGCAACCAAACAAGTGCTCGTCTTACCACAGTTGAGCGCAGTCTGTCCACCCATAGAGAGCAGGATGCCATCCGGACGCTCTGTCTTGATTACCTCAGTTACGAATTGTGGCGTGACGGGCAGGAAGTAGACCGAGTCGGCCTGTTTGGTTCCCACCTCGTTGGTCTGAACTGAGGCTATGTTTGGGTTCATGAGCACCGTCTTCAGATTCTCCTCCTACAACAGGTTCACACAGTCAACTACTACCATTAAAAAAGTGTGAGTGTGATTAGTTGTCAGTGTTACTGTGTTTTTTTTATTAACTGGCAAACATTTTTTCAGAGTTTTACAACACACACATTCCAAATGTCATGGTAGGAAAACGACGATGTATTACTGATAACATCAGTAAGGCACTACATTTAATCTTATTGTAAGTAATGACAGTGAACAGGCCATGCACATTGTCAGGGCCCTCAAAGCTAAGAAGCTACGCGCAATTTAGCATAATTAATTTGACCATTTACAACTGTGCTCTTCCTACTGTGGCAAAATGTCTCCTGTGATAAAAACAGTGTTTCCAGTACACGGACCACAGTGTGTACCATAGACTGCAAACAACAAATTCTTATACTTAATGTAAGAAAGATCAGATTAGAACATTTTCAAGGTTCAACAACAGTAAACAGAATAAGAAAAAACATATGAGAAAAAAAATGGCAATAACATTTCACTCTGGGTCTATTGGCATCAAACTCTTAAATATATTTAAGTCACAAATAAAATGTTCTTGTAACTTGTAAGCAAACCAGAGTAAATGAGTATTTTCAGCTGTAGATTAGCACATGTTGGTGAACTAGCCTGTAAGAGGTAAGATGAGGGGCAGTGCACCAGGATACGTTAAGAATTTAAAGTGTGAATTCACCAAAATGCTGAAAATTAGGTCATTATGACAAATATGTGACATGAGTTGTCTTCTCATATCACCCTGCACATTAAATTGATGCCAGACGATATTCTCTTCAACTTTACAACCATTCATGAGAATGATGGAGTACGGTTTTAGGTGCAGACGACATTCAAACTGCATCCGGATGTTGTGTTACCTTCATGGCTTTAACGGCCTGAGATCCAGAGTAGTCAAACTCTCCAGCCTGACCGATGGACAGACCTCCAGAGCCCAGCACCAGCACCTTCGACACCTGCATTAACACAGACAGACTATAACAGTGATTACCTGCAGGTTACACTAACTGCAACTGTACAGCATGAACCTCCATTCATTGACATTCATCATCTTTCTCAGAGCTCATATTGTGACCCTGACGTAAAACCCTCAGACACACAGAACAGAAATGAGGAGAATCTTTCATACTTAATACTTGGTTCCTTACTTATCAGAGTCAATTCTGGTAGTTTCCTGTAAAGTGAACTATTTGGTATATTCTCTTCCGAGCCAATTTGAATCAATAACTGTTCAGAAGCCTTGAGGTGAACCTTCCTGAACCTGAGCGTCGTACTGTACCTGGGCTCTCGGGGGTGTGTGGGGTTTCTTGGGCATGACTGACACCAGGTTAGCGTCCTTTCCTTTCTCGATCAAGGATATGAAGGTATCAAAGAGGAACTGTGGACAGAGAGAGAAATGCCAATACAATGATTTGAAAAGTAAATTTATAGATTTCTGAGGTCCCTTTTGTTGCTTCTGAAATGTTTTCACAAAGCTTCTGGGTCAAAGTGATAAAATGACAACAAAAATGTAGTGTCTGTATCAAACAGATGTGTGTCTATGATAATGAATAAAAAACAGAGGGACGCAGAAACATCTTATTCATTGTATTATTCAAAATCCAAACAAAGAAAAGTTTACTTTTTTTGTACCTCACTCGCATATTTACAATTTCAAACATTTTTGATTTTTTTTTCCCCAATATAGTTTTCATATTTAAATATATTAGGAATGACTGCATGGTTCATGTAAAGCAACTTTCTTGGCAGAAAGGTTAGGTACAAATTTATAGAGAAGCACATGATGTAACACATGTTGCCAATGTCGCCTCACAGCAATAAGGTTCCTGGTTTGGAGTTTGCATGTTCTCCCCATGTCTGGGTGAGTTTTCTGTGGATACTCCAGCTTCACCCTACAGTCCAAAGACATGCAGTTTGGAGTTGGGTTAAATGGAGACTTTAAACTGACAAAATTGCTGTTCATCTCTTTATGTCGAACTTGTGATACACTGGCGACCTGTCCAGGGTGTACCCGCCTCTCACCTAATGTCAGGTGGGATTGACTCCAGCTCCCCCTGCGACTCTCAAAGGATAAGCTGCACAGATAACGGATGATATAATGCACTTTTTTCCTCAGCCACTCAAAGGTTATAGAGTAAATACAGTTTTAGTTCATGTATCTGTGGTTGAACCGACACTGAACAGGAGTTAGATCTACAATCTGTGGAAACTTATCTGTGGCATCAGTTACAAAAGAGTAAGAGGTTAGGCTGCGGTGAAACACCACAGGTAACTTAACCTCTTGTCATGTTATTCTGAGAGCCACAGAAAAATGAATAGTATTCTCCATGTCTGAGACAGAAGCATTCAGAAAACATTGCACCTCCCTGCCGGTAAAATATTTGTCAAGGGCCCTGTGCAAATTTTTGGTGATGTCTCCCGGAGTCAAACCCAGGTGGAAGCAAAGAGAATCTCCAACTGAGCTGTCAGGTTTATGTTGTGGTGTGGAGGACAGGTCTTATTATTCCGACTCAACATGACAGAGGTTACAACATTCTTTGACCAGAACTTGAACTGCAGTCCTCGTCTGTCGTGTGGGAGACAAAAACTGCAGCACAGAACAATCAACATGTTAGTGCAGGGACACAGACACTGTTAGTGAGTGCTCCTCCACCTGAGCCCCGACACATACATGATTATATAGATATAACATTATAGATGTAGGTCAAGAGATAAAGATATATATATATATATACTTAAGATACAAAGAGATATAGAGATAAAGACATATAGTGATATAGATTTAGACTATAGAGTGACATATAGAGATATGAATATAGGCAGTGGCAGCTGGTTAATACGGGGCTCTGGGGCGGCGCCCCCTTAAACACCAAAAAAAGCCATTATAAAACTGTTAAACATATTTCACTTAAAGTTTTATTATTAAATAATTTAACGTCACTGAGTTACTTTTGCTGCGAGGGGAGCTGCTGCAAATCTGGTGATTTTCTTTACAACACTCCAACAAGAAAAATGAAAGAAGATAAGGGAGCTTGGTCCGGTCCAACCCGATTTACAGATTCAGCAGCAAGTGATGAGGACGAGCTAACACCCGGGGCTTCTCCCGCTCTTATTATCAGAAACAGAGGTGTCTAAATGGATGTGTAAGTAATGTCTTCTGCTGCTTCCCCTGTTTGCTGTTTCAATGTGTCGGCATGAAGGTACCGTGGACAATGACGGGGGTGAGAGACCAAAAAACATCTCTCTGAAAAATGCAATGGCATGAAAGTAGCGAAAGTCACTCAGACACAATGAGGCTACATTTTTGTGGCAGGCTTAGCATTGCTCAGCAGCTTGGTGAAGGCTACAGGACTGGCATATTGTGTGCTGTGTTGATTTTGTTGAGCCTGGCTTCAGTTCATCTGTGCCCCRATACATTTTATCACCAGCCGCCACTGAATATAGTGATATATAAACATATAGAAATTCATAAATAGAGGTGTATATATATATATATATACACATGCGGTATAGAGATATAGATAAAGAGATTGATAGGTATGGGGATATGAAGAGATCGCAAAAGAGATACATAAAAATAGAGGCAAAGCGACAGACTGGATAGAGAGAGAAAAAGATAAAGATAAATATATGATAGAGAGAGAGAGAGAGAGAGAGAGAGAGAGAGAGAGAGACAAAGATATTTATGAGATATAAAGAGATCTAGGAATAGAGAGAGATGGAGGTTAAGACATAAAGAGAGATGTAGAGACAGACAGACACAGACAGACAGATAGACAGACTTAGACTTTTCCTGACTTCTCCCTTGCTGCAGCCTGTGAGTATATACCTTTACTTAACTTCAGTGTGGTATTCAGGTACTTAATGCATCGCTATCAGAGTTTTTAATTACCTCTGTGTCTGTGGGGCCCCCTTTAGCCTCCGGGTGGAACTGAGCCGTGAAAACAGGCTTAGTGTTGTGCATGATGCCCTGGAAAATAAGCACAATTGACGGAGAAAAGAAAGTCAGCGGTATATTACAGCTCTGCATTTCATTTAGAAACATCTAAAAAAACAGACGAGTCTTTCTGAAATATTATTTGTAGACATGCAGCATCTTTTTTCTCGACTGAACTTGTCGACAATAGAAACATACAAATCGCCATTTTGTCTTGTTTTGAAGTGAGAGAAATGAACCTCATTGGTGCCATCATTGGCGTTAACAAACAGCGGGCTCCATCCCGGGGGCAAGGACTCGATGTCTATGCCGTAGCCGTGGTTCTGTGCCGTGATGAAGGCCTGGCCCGTCATCACATTCAGCACTGGCTGGTTCTGGCCTCTGGAGAACAATAATCACACAGCTTATTATTTGTTTATGGGACACATGATACCAAAAGAGAGCCCCACAATTAACTACAACTATAAAATATTTATGAGCCTACTTAAAGAGTGTACATGTTTATATTCTTAATCATGTCGAGTTATTTACAAGTTCACCTGTTTCCCATAGGCAGTTTATATGATGTAGCTCCTGCAGCCAGAGCAGTGATTTGGTTTCCCATGCAGATACCAAACACTGGCTGGGGACGATCACTTTCCAGCACCTTTAGGACAAAATGTAAACAATAATTATTCTCGTTAGTTTAGATCATGATAGAAAAGTTTTCATACGACAGAGTATTATGGCCACTTACACGGAAAAGAATATATTACCACCCAAATCAAGGTTTTGGATCCAGAAGGAGTGGACCTCTGGCAGACACTGGTTCTGCTTATCTGCTCTATTTATAGCAGCAATATTTAAATATTATGACTTTCTTTCTCGTTAAATTATTCATGTAATATGACTTTTATCCTCATTATATTATGACTTTATTTTCATAATGATTTTTTTGTGATTAAATTATATCTTTATTCTCATAATATTATGACTTTTGTCTTGATGAATTATGACTTGTTCTTGTAATGTTACAGCATCATTTTCAAAATGTCAGATTTCTTCTTTTTTTTTTCTCCTATAGCCCTTATACATACATAAGTACATTTAAGGTGCTGTAACTACAGGAAATAGCACTCCTAAATACATTTTAATTTTTTTTTAAATGATAATAAAAATTACTTTTTGTGCCCTCGAGTGAAAATAAAGATCATTATGAAGCAGCAGCTCCCTGAGTCTTAAAAGAAAACCTCTTCTTTTTATGGTCCAATTTCACAAGTTGCACAACCATGGACTTTAGTTTTAAATCTACTGATGCCCAAAAGATCTAAAAATCTCCATGTCCTACCTTGCTGACATTCTGGATGAGCGTCTTGGCCAGAGATGGGTCTCCTGGTCCGTTGGAGATGAACAGACCATCGTAGTTTAGACTCATCAAGTCTTGGTCCCATGGTACAAGATGGACCTCTGCACCCCTCTGCACACAATTACTGACATACTGACGCACTCTGTACTCTGTACGATCTTACTTAACGATGGTCATGGCAGAGCCCCTTAAAATAACGTTATAATTTTACATTAACAGTCATCCCTCTAGTTTTAACATATATTCAGTACAGAGTTAATCGACTCCAAGGTCCTCAGACAATGACAATTTTAATATGTAGATTTATGACAGAATTAATGTGACATTTCCTCCAGTAAACTCTCTCCTCTAACACCATAAACAAGCAACAGCACCATCATCTCCATTTTATGAACCAGGAAGTCAAAAACTCCCTAATATATATATAATAATGACTATTAATTTGACCAATACTTTGACAAATGAGACTCTTCACACTGCCACACACTGACCAACAATCCAATCAACAACAAATAAAGGAAGATAAATGATATGATAAACAGACAAAACACAGACTATTGTGATAAAGTCTGCGGGTGGTTTTTCCTCCTCCTTCCTACTATTAGAACCAATTATACCAAATTATAAATAACATCAAACCGTTAAGTGGAGCACAAATAAAGAAACAGGAAACCCAGTTTCGGTTACAGCTGGGTGACACATTTAACTTCTACAGAATGATTCATTAATACCTAATGTTGCTATCTGAAATTTTCTAGGTCATGTTGCAGAAAACAATGTGTCAATTTTCTTTTTCTATATTTGTGCAGAAAAGGTTCATTAGGGGCTCAGCCACAGACACATCATTCCTGAGAGTGTCATTTAATGAGGACACAATGAACAAGAGGATTTTTCATTCTCACCTTAACCAGCAGGCGGATGATGTTATGTTTAATGCCACAATCTACAGCCACAACTTTGATTGGGTTTCCTTTTCCAAAAACTTTGGTTTCCTGACAGGGGACGGGGGGGGGGGGCAAAAACAGCAGGAGGTTAGTGATCATCAACATCCTTTGTAAAAAGAGGAAAATGCGTTTTGAGGTTTCAGGTCTGTACATGGGTTGTGACGATAACTGTAAAATAAATGGTAGCAGTTGTTACCTTGGTTGAGACCTCTGCCACCAGGTTCTTCTGGTTGGGGTCCGATATCTCAACAGGCTGTCCGTCAAATTCAATCTTTCCCAGAACTGTGCCCTGAAACCACGAGCACATGAACAACAGTGATCAATCGGGCTGTCCATTCACTAATGCACCAGATCAGAACTGTGCATTTACTGCACCTTGTCTCTGATAACTTTGGTCAACATTCTGGTGTCGATCCCAAACAGTGCAGGAACCTTCAGGGAGGGAAAATAATAAAATGTTAGGTTGCCAAAAAGCAGAGTCTTATTCACTGCTCTAAAATGACCCCTGAGGAGCTGGTAAATTGAATCCCAACCTTTTCTTCTTGTAGCCACTGACCCAAAGACTTGACAGAGTTCCAGTGGCTGTACTCTGGGCTGTAGTCTTGAACCAGGAGACCGGATACCTGGAGGAACAGAAGCACAAATATTAGCCTCGAATAAAATAAACGGTCAGACTTTAACTCCAACTGCCATAAAATACTAAAATGTGTTTGAGCGTGCAAGCACATCCTGAGCATGGGGAAGTAAACTCCCTGTGCAGAGTTCTAAACACCTCTGCTGCCTGTTCATATATATATATATATGAAAGACAACAAACAAAAAATTAATCAGCTAACCTGCCAATGTCGTTAATCAATTAATGTAGCAATCTTTATTAATTCAAGACCATAATGGATGAAATTTAAAACGATGTCAGGTATGACAGATGTGAGCGAATATCATAGTCCTCAAAAAGAATAAGTTGAAGTTACAGAACGGAGAAGAATCCTCGAAATGCTAAGTTACCAAACAAACTAATGACAGACATTCGTCTTTTCATTAGTTTTCATTACAGTGTTTTCAAAACTACAACCGAGGAGACATTACAAACTATGAATGTAGCCAAAATATTTCTCTTAAAGGGAGACTTCACCGAAAAATTGAAAATTCACTCATTATCTACTCTCCACTATGCCCCCTGAGGGGTGGGTGAAGTGTTTGAGACCACAAAACACTTTGAGGGATAAACAGTGTTTAGCCCAGACAACGTCTTCTATGGTAAAATAAAACTAGACTAAAAACAAGGTGTAAATGACGCTGATTGGAGTCGAATATGAATGTCGGGGCTTGCAGTCAATTGGACGACACCACAGGGGCAGTATGGAGGCATGTTATGGTTTTTTTTCTGTTCTTTTATTAAACCTGAAGAAGAGGTCGCGATTGACTTCAATTGTATTGGATTGAGCTGCAACACTGTTTACCTCTGAGACTCCAGCAGTGTTTTGAAATCGAAAAAACACATTTGTGTAAAAGCATCATTTTTATGCATTTATATGAAATTAAATGCAGGCCCTGAAACCTTCGGACCACGGCAGCATTTCTTACCTGGATGCGATCTGACTCCGCATGCTTCCTCAGGCCCAGCTCATCCAGCTCCTGGGTGTTGGGTACGCCATAGTTCCCTACTATTGGGTACGTCAGGGTCAGGATCTGACCTCTGTAGCTGGGGTCAGTCAGGGCCTCGGGATACCTGGAGCAGTGGAAGAGCAGGAAAATCATACCCAGATTCTGAAGCACATTGTTGTGTAGTTGACTCATGACTTGTTCAAATGCACTTCTGTATTTTGATTCATGTCAGCATGTCTCCTCCTTACCCCACCAGGCCGGTATTGAAGACGAGCTCCCCTGCAACTGACACATGGTGCCCAAAGGAGAACCCTTTCATCCGGGTTCCATCCTCCAAGACCAGGTGGGCTGTCTGGGCCTGCATGGAAGTCAAAAAGAAATGATAGAATGTCACCAGGAGTGATGCACTGGAGAGAGCAGAGGCAAAACTTAAAAACAGAAGTGTTGTAGACTTTTGGTGTGATGGTGAGCAGAGAGCGCTGAGCCTCTGGGACTTCATGCTGAAACTGCAGGTCACTGTGGATTGTGCTGTGAATGCTGAGACACACAAATCTGTTCAGTGTGTGTGTGTGTGTGTGTGTGTG